GACGCTCTGATTATAATCATTTTTGCTTAAATATTGTATAAAAAATAGCGTTAAACTAGCATAATTATTTATAAGGCAAAGAAGTTTCAACAGAGTAGTTCTCTAGAGCTGAACGAACGTCCTCCATATTAGTAAATATCATGCCAATTCGCTGTGCTTTACTTGACATCATAGTGATTTGCTATAACAATAAACAACTTTATACAAAGAAAATGAAATTTATTAAATTTAAAAATGTTCTCATTTATAATTACTAATTTCCAATCGATTTTACATTTTTTTTATGTCAACTGGACTTGAGTTTTTACATATTCATGATATTATTCATCGTGACCTTCATAGTGGCAATATTTTTATTAGTGAAGTGGGTAAACCAGCAATTGCAAAGTTAGGAATAAGCAAACCTGTAGATGCATTATCAGATGAGAATTCAATCTATGAAGTTGTTTCATATGTTACACCTGAGGTGTTAAAAAGAAGAAAATTTACAGAAGCTTCAAATATTTATAGTTTCGGTATGATTATTTGGAAGGTAATAAGTGGCTGTAGGCCATTTCCTAATCGTAAACATGATAAATATCTTATTCTGAATAGTCTTACTGGTCTTCATCCAAAAATTCCAACTAATATTCCACAAGGTTTAGTTAAATTAATAGAAAGTTACTGGCATCAAGATCCAAAAAATCGTATAAATGATTTAGCAAATAAACTAAATATAAATTATAGAAAAAGCAGAACGAGGGGAAATAAAATTTCTGAAAAATGGAAATACAAATATTTTACCAATTAACGCCCAAAATTAAATAACCATGCAATTTATTCTAGTCGACCATTAACACTATTAATTAGTAAAGCATTAACTTTACAAAGCATAAAATTAAGTAACACAGGTGAGAAAATATTTTGTATTATGATGTATTTTTTTTATTTTAGATATTAACTAATATAAATAATGTTTATAATATTCAACTGTATTAGATATTCAAATAGTAATAATACAAAAACTAAGCAATAATCAAATAGATGATAATTCTAAAGTGATTGAGTTTGATATAAACAACTTTAGATAGAATTTTAACTTATTTGCAATGTTTTAAATTTGTATAATTTTATTTAAAATTTTTGAATTTAGTTATTTAAAGTTTAAACTTATCAATCTAAATATTATTACTGATGCTTTCATTAGACAAATGCTATATTGCACAAAATCACTGTCTTATTAATCTTATATAAGTATAGAAAATGTTATTTATATATAGAAGTTAATAGAAAAGGGACGAATCATTTTTAATAAATTTTTTTTTAATTTTTAAATTAAAATATCTTAACAACTATCTAATCAAATTTGATAAAAATTTTTTTATTTTAATCTTAAAATTATATAGAATTAAATTAAAAAATAAAAAATTCTAATTTATAGCACAGGTAATTATTACCTATATTATTAATATTTTAAAATTTTGCTTATAAAATTACCTTTTAGGCCTAACAAAAAAATTTCTTGCAAAATTTTACTATAAGTGATACTTCTGCTTTATTTCAAACTTTATTCTAGCCCTAACTATAAAAAACATTACTTTTTGTTTTAAAGAAAATTATTTATTATTTTGTTGTTATGTATTAAAAATCATAGATGATAATCATCTGTGGTGATAATTAATTATTTTTTAAAAAAATTATTAAATTTAATTAGATAGTTGTTAAAATATTTAAGTTTAAAGTTAAGAAAATTTTTATTTAGAAAAAATTTGTCTCTTTTCTATTGACTTCTTTCTATATATAGAGTTTTATTATATTTAAAACTATTATATATTTTTATGAGAATTTCTATTTATACATGGGTGTATATACACGGGCAATATCGATATCTCAAAATTTTGATTATGAAACCACTTTTTGACTTCTAACAAAAAAAATTCTTTGTGAAATTTTGGTATAAGCTATATCTCGTCCAATCCCAAACCAACCCTTACCCTAACCATAAGCTAGGGTTTAATTTTTCATTTGTAAAATTTGGTTTGATTGGCATATTACACGAATTTGTAATTTAATAAATTATACCCCATATATAAACACTATGTGTAAAATAATAAATTTTCTATTTTTATTTATATCAATAAAATAAATAAATATATATTTTTTATTATTTCTAAAATTTGTTTTAATATATTATAATTAATAGTATATATATATAATTAAAAAATACAATAAGTCAGTGTGATTTTAATATATAAAATAATATAGTTTTTAAATAAAAAAATACAAATAATAAAAACAATTAAATTTTTAATTTTTTTAAAAAATTAATCTTGATATTATTAATTTTTAAAAAATTATATATAAAAGAAAAAAATTTAAACAATGTATCTATACACTAAGTATATTTTTATTGCATAAATAAATAAATTGTGATAGAATAAAATCTAACTATAAATTCATAAAGTCTACTATGTAAATTATATAGGGTATTATTTATTAAAATAGCCTATTTTTATATATAAACAATTTTAAGATAATTGAGTTTGTTTATTTGTTTTAATTTTTAGACTAATTTAAAATTAAATAAATTTTATAATTTTGATTAGTTAAAAATAATAGATAACTATTAGGTAATCTTATAATATAGTTAGTTTTAGATAGTCTTATATAATTTTTCTTTTATATTATTTCTATTTTTTATTATACAAATTGATTTTTATTTATAATTAAAAATATCAATTATATAAAAGGATATAAATCTAATAAAAGCTTATTTTTTAAAATATTATAAAAATAGTTTATTTTAATAAATAATACCCTATATAAGGATAAAATTTATTTTTGTATAATAAAAATATAGCTAGTTGATAATTAATCAATTAGTCTTTAAAATTTTTTAAACTAATTAGTTAAAAAGTTGTTAACTAGTTAATTTTTAATTAAATGATTTAAATTACTATATTAAAGTTAAAATTAGAGTTAATAATAGTATTGTTTTATTAGTAAAATTATACAAGAAATATTTTTTATTACAGAGTTTATTATAGTAAATTTTATAATATAGTTAAGGATATGACAAAAATCAGGTAATTTTTTAAGGTAAGAAGGTAAAAAAATTAAAATTATATATAAGAATCTGATTTTTTTTATATTAAAAGAGAGGAGAGAGATAAGCTTCTGATAAAAAATAATCAGATGATAAATAATACTGCTCTTAAATAATACAAATAAAATATTATTAATATTAAAATTTAAAAATTATATACAGTATATATAACTACAAAATTATTATATATATCTTATACTATTACTTTTTTTTTTGGTATTAAGATGACCTCTTTGATCAGTATTTTTATTTATATTTAATAGATTACTTTTACAGTATTAGCAGCAGGGAGGGCGAGCAGACTTTTTTTCTATTTTATAGAATTTTTGGGTAAGTTGAGTATGTAAGTTAAAAGCTCTGAAATCGTCAAAATCCATATTATCTTTTT